TCCAAGCATTCAAAATAACAATTCTCCCATTTTAAGGGCTTTTTGATATTTCTGAAGGAAACATAACTGAATTCCATTATATTACTGTCTTTCAAAGTTATCTTAATTTTGGGCTCATATTTGACCTGCATAAACTAAAGTGCATGATGCAGGTCTGGGGAAGAAGAAGCAGGCAAGTTTTAAGTTTCCTTACTGTCCCAAAGAAACCTATCAGCTGCCAGGATCGAAGTCAGGGTATGCTTTGCTAACAGTGACTGTCTCAGAGAGGAGCAGTGGATCTGCCTTTGAGTGGATGAATATGCATAAGTGGCTGTGCAAACAGTCATCTGTTTTCATGAGTCACGTAGAAGAGTTCATGGCAGGCGCACTGCACAGCTTTCAAAGTTCCAAGAAACAGTGCAGGTCCATCTGTTCGGAAGATTTATTTCCAGTCAGGATCTTCATGTGCACAGCATAGGAAGCTGAAAGCCATTGACAGATGTTGGATTTGTGGCAAAGCTCACTAATTCTGCATTCTAATTTAATGAATAAGCTTTTTAGAAAAAAAGAAGTCTACATAGGGGTTATCCCACTGATGAACTTAGGTAATGAGGGCAAAGTTTTATCCCAGGAGGAATTAGTCCTTCTTAAGAAAGGTCATAGTAGTTTGGGGATAGAAGGGAATCAGAAGTTCACTGAATCCAACTGACTCTTGTGGAAGGTATGGACCCTGGAGATGCAGAGGTTAAGTGACTTGTCCAAATTTCTAAAACTACTAGCAGGCTGTGATGCTAGAATAAAACTCTTACAGAATAAGGCCTCATCTCTCTCCTCAGTTTTGCAGTATGTTCTGGTTCTCTGCAGAAACCTAGGAAGACTATATACCATTTTCTGCTTCCACACAGAACTGCACCTAAATATAATCAGTTAGCAACCCAAAGGCTCTCTGTTGTTTAAAATGACTTTCATCCCAATCACCCAAGGTTGTTAATTTTTTTAAAAAAAATTATACAACAGATAACAAGGTCATTGAGTGGAAATGCTGACTCTAGCTGAATCATTAAACAGAAAACCTTTGGTGCCTCAAATGTTGAAATAAATGTTCAGATCATTTCAGCATTAGCCATTCTTAGCAAGGAAAATTAAACTGTGATATGAAAATGCAACAGCTTTCAAGGCTGTTGGAATCACTATATCATCTAAAAGGCAATGACAGGCTTATTTTTGTATAGTTGGCATATTTATGAAGGCAATTCATATATCATTGACTTAACTTTATTTGTACCTAAAAACCGCCTGGTCAGCTTGCTATCGAATGATTATCCCAGACTGACAGGTGTCTGTCATTTTGTAATACCACCCCGTATAAGGTACTTTAGGATGGGACAAGTGCATTCATGTACAGTTATGACTAGCTCAATGGCAGATTTTCTCCAGCTTAAATGAGAAAACCTGCTACTGCAGAGTAATTATGTTTTAATTGCACATTTAGTAGACAAAAGTGAAGTGAGAGCTTAATTCATGTACTTGTAAAAGCTACATTAAAAAATACATTTGCAGTGAAACAGCAATTATATTCCACACAAGGAAAAATGCATTCAAATCAGCATTTAGGATGATGAAGATATTTTCTTCTTCCTTTTACCTTTATCGAGTAGTTGAATTTATTTATTGGAATGTTAGTTTGAAATGGTGCCTATTTGTGATATTACTAAGGGGCTGTACTAGAAAGATTGGATTTAAACCTGCCACCCACATAATTCTTGCCTTCCAATTGCTTAAATAAATAATGTTCCTCAATCCAAAAGTAAATGTTTCCCTAATAACATGGGTATCCTACTGAAAACTTAGCATTTTAGAAAATGAAATTGACTCCTAATGTTCAAAAATGCATTGTCTTCTATTATTGTGTGTATAGGATTCATTTTACAGTCACAGGAATGTATTATTCAGTAGCTCCTCATAATAAGATTTTAATGATCATACTGAAGAAGAGAACATATTATTTTGTGAATTTAGTTAATATGATAGAACATTCACATTGATGCTGTGGAAATTTGGCAGTGAGTTCACAGTTTCATGTAAACTGACAAACTGAATGACTGAGGTTCAAAAAAAATCAAAGAAAAACAATATCAGAGGAACCGTCAATAATGAATAAATAAATTTACAAATCTTAATTTGTTTTGGCATCCTTATACCCTATTTATTTTTTAAGCACAAGTCGTTAGAATGCAGTGCTAATTTCCTAAATATTTGTTCTGTATACAAAGTCTGATAGTAGCTGGCCTCTTGGAAAAGGCAAAAGATGAAAGAGAATGGAATTATGTGCCTGTGAAGACTAATAACGTATGCTCAGAAAGAATGAGGGGCAATTGTGAATGATTGTTACCACTTGCTATGCTTATTGTGTGCCTAGAACTGTTCTAAACACTTGACCCATTAACTTCTCAGTTCATACACCTCTTTGATGTAGATATTAATATACCTGTTTTACACAAGGTCATATACTGACTTATTAGAACTGAGCCTAGCTTAGCTTTGAGATACATCCTTTTTAACCACCGATCTGTATCACCTGTTCTGAAAAGATTCTCTCTCTCCCAAAGTTCTCCAAAAGGGTGCTTCATTTTGGATATAATAGTTTTATGAGTGACAAGAATATGAAAAGAAAAATTGCAAGATCAGTTACTATGAGACACAGAAAATTAGCTCTAATTGAGTAAGTCAATAGTTGTAGAGAGATATGAAGTAGTGCCCCCTCCAATATGTATCCATATCTCTTGCGTCTTTCTTTGGCAATTACTACCTCTGTCCATGTAGCTGGACAGACACTTTGCAGGAACCACCTGATTTCATCGAAGTAGCAAAATTATAGGGGTCGATAATACCCTTCCCATATTACACACGGGAGACTAAGGCACAGGGAATTTAATTTATTCAGCCCCACAGTGTTAGAAAGTTACTAAAGAAGGCACAGATCAGAACTCAGGCGATTTGCCTACAGAGCCCACTCTATGCCTCGCACCATAATATGTTGTCTCTCCTTAATAACCTAGTCAGCATGACTTGAACATGGGGGGAAATTAGACTCCATAAATGTAATGATTTTAAAAGCATCATTTACACATGATAACAGAATAGATTATTGAATTTTCTTCCTTTTGAGACTTTCTAGTTTATCTTAACTTTAAGAAAGTCAAAAGGATATTTGTAATCTTCAAAATATAAAATGAGAAGTATATAAAATAGTTGATTTCAAATAGGCCATAAAATAAAAATGGTTTTATTTTCTCAATTTTAGTTGATAATTTTAGTATAAATTTTGTGTAAAATTAAAAGACATAATTTTTTTATACATTTTTGAGAAATCTATTTGGGACCCTATAATAGATTTTTTGGACTGGGAGACCATAAACAGACATTCTTATCTTAAAGAATTAGTGCTTTAAAAAACTGTTATCAGATTAGCTTTTTCATTCTAGTGAATCATTACCAAGATAACTTTCTGCTTTGACTAGGAAAGCTGTTGTTATTTTATTATTGTTATTATTATTATTATTATTGCATTTTGTACCTGTTCAGCAGCTAAGTAGATTCACTTGACGAATTGGTTGGTGTGCAGCACACACACAAATAACATTTACATAAATAAGAACAGCTGTGTAAAATATTGCCTTTGAAAAGGCAAATTTACCGACATAGTGATTATAGTGCATGAAGCTCCAGGCACAACCATAATGGTAGGACCATTTCTCTTTCCCTGCAGTCTTTTATGTCTATTGCCCTCAGAACCAGAAGACAGCACATTCATGGCAGCCAATACTATTCCCTCTCCTGTAAAGCTGCTTTTATTACAACATTGTGCTTTTAGTTACTGAAAACTTGCTGAAAATCCTCCTTAGAAGCTACAACTTTTAAAATTTGGCCTCTTCCAAAAGATATGGCTTGAATAAAAAGAGGGTAATATTTAAGTTCTAAAAATAAAGCAATGCTTAATTTGGTGTATTAAAAATTACTTTTAAATGAAAAAAAAATTAAATGTTGGGTTGTATTAATATTATTCAAGCAACTCTCCAATATCAGGAAGTACCAGTTTGTAGTCTACAAAGGGTAAAATGACATTGATTTTGCCCCACTGAGATGCCAGAATTTAAACCTGAGTCCCTTGGACTTATAGATTAGAAAAGGGCTATTATGTTTGTGTATTAAATTTTAGACAATAATTTTATTTTAAAATTAGAGGCCTGGTGCAGAAAATTTGTGCATTGGGGGGAGGAGAGGGGAAGAGTCCCTCAGCCTGGCCTGTGCCCTCTCTCTGTCCAGTCCAGGAGCCCTCAAGAGATGTCCAACTGATGGCTTAGGTCTGCTTCCTATGGACCATTTATCTTCCCCTACAGGGAGTGAGCCCAAGCCATTAGTCAGAGATCCTTAGGACTGCTGCAGAAGCGGGAATGGCTCCAGCCACCACCACTGAGCTGGCCAGTCTTGAGCCTAGCTTCTGGCTGGGCGGTGCACCCCCTATGGGAGCGCACTGACAGCAGGAGGCAGCTTCTGTTGCTAGAAAAAGATTGTAAGGCAATTCTGAACACCTTCATGAATAATTAATTTTCCTGAAATATAATTTAAGTCAAATAAGCACTTAATTTTTAATCTAGTTTAAGAATGGATGTTATGGAGTTCATTCCCAAGGGCTGGGATGATGTGTTTATGGTCTCTGGATTATGTCCTCCAAACCTGTGCAAAGAACAGGAATTCCTGACTCATTCTGTGGGTCTGAGATGGATGGCATCTCCTGTTAGGAGTTTCCTGATCACAGTTGGAGTTATATTGTGAAATGATAGGAAAATACAGGTGTAACTTTTAATAAACTGGGATGTGGTAGTCTTTAAAATTCAACAGTTTCATATAGTACATACCAGCATTTTGAATTATATATTAACTTCTAATATAAATTGTTTTTGGGGATTTAAGATTATAGCTATTTTATGAAATTATTATATTTTCTTCTTCCTTTGTAGGTAACCCATTAACTAAGAATAAATCAAGTGACCCTCAAGGCTGATCACCTTGAACATATGCACAGAAACTTAACTTCTCTGGTGGTCTTGAAGGAAGATTTTTATACTGTTCCGAAGAGGCACTCCAGACACTTATTTCCAAGGGATTTTATGGCTCGTAATCAGCATCTTCTTGAAATCAAGACTTTCAAAAAGTCAGACATGAACTTCTGTGTCACGAAGAGTTCATCAGATTTGAACTGTGTTCAACTTGTAAAATTGCACTTCCTAAAAGAATTTGAAGTCCTTATCTGAAGAGTTGGTGTTTCCCGGGGATGTCAGAGACACTGGCATTTTGGGCTCCTGTCTCCAAATGTGACTGCTTTTCTTGTTTTTGAAAGTCTCCCGAATGCACTGGCCTTCTGTCATGGATGTGTTCCTGGCTCTGGTCCTGTGTTCAGTGGCTAGTGGGACTGTATATGGCTTTAGTGACCTTTGCAAACTTCTCTGGCATGATGTGGACTGAGATCATTTTATTTGTATCCTAATCTTGGAGCTCTGAAAGCCTACATGTTTTAACATCTTAAAGTTGCTTTTGTTAAAGGAATGGAAAAATATATCCATTGATAATCATTATTGTTGGCAAGTAATAGTAACCTGAGTACATCAATCACATAAGAATGTATAAACTAGCTGACATGTTTCCCCAAGGCTTACACACTACTGCAGCTCTGTCAGTTAAATAGGTAGTAGTTAGAATTGAATTACCATTTTCATAGAATCCTATTTTGTACCTCTGGAGCCCTCTTTCTTTCTTGCTTTTTTGAAGTGGGTTGATTTCTTTCGGTTTTATGTTTACTTTTTTCCTTCACAGAAATCAGCAGTGGGCAGTCAAGTATTGAGTTAGGTAGCCTTCAGTTTCAAAAATTGCCAGGGATGCATGTGGGTTTCTGACTTCTTAGCTTGAAAGTTATTCATTTACATTTGTTACATTTTAAAACTGTTCTTTCTATCTCATTTTAGACGGCTGTCTCTTGCTTGACCCCAATGACTGTTTGAATGCTGTTTGTCCAGTCTGTGGATAAAATAAATTGCTCATTTTCCTTGGCATCAAATTTATAAATGTTTGCTTATAGTTGTCCTATATGAACAATTTCTTAGGTTGGTTTTTGCTCACATTTTTGTAGTAATTTTAACATTTGTGGTTTTCAGTTCTATAGAAAAATCATATAAATGTGTAAAGGCCTTAAACATGTATGTACTTTTTTTTCCTACATTATTACAGAATGTATACTTTTATACTACATTTATTTTGTTTCATTTATGATGTGAAGGGAGAGAAGAATGGAAATGGCTAAGCTATTCTGTGATAATATTGTATAAACTCACAGTCTGAAGGAATGTAAATGGAGGGACTTCTGTGTTTTACTCATCTTAGACTACTGGGAAGATACTTCAGAAATTGTCCAATTAGAAATCCCATTATGTTAGAGAAGGTGTGGACATCTTTTGTGTTTCTAAAATTCACTGACGTGACCAATTGGGTATATGTTGGTTTCCACGATGGAGGCTGAGCCGACTGAAGACCTTTGGTCTGTTAGTTGGTAACAATTTCCAAAGACTGATATAAACCTTTCTGGGCAAAACTACTAAAGGTGGTAAAATTTGTTAAAAGTTAAATTTGTAAAGTATGCTTTTGACACTGAACTAAACTATACTGCCCTATAAGTCAATGAAATGACATATTTCTTTTATTTTAATTATACATAAGCCTAGATGACTCCACATGGATTTTGCAATGGTTCAATACTATATGAACATTAAGACAGGAATAACAGTTGTGCTGGAGTTTCTGAATCAATTATATCATTAATTTGTTTGGAACAAAGAAGAAAACCATATTACTTTTGAAATTATGAATTTGTTCTAGGTTGGTTTAAAATTATAGATCATGCCTCTCATTTATTAAACCTTGTTCTTTAAAACAACACTGAAAATTCTGTACTATATATGTGTAATACATGCATATCAATAGAAAAAATAAATGGAATTTCAACTATACTAACTAGATTATCCCTAATAGAATACTGTTGTGACTATTCAGAAAAGTAATAAAATTGGGATATAAAATAGACTCTCTTTCATGAGTTACATTTGGAGAATCTGTTTTTTAGGGTTTTATTTTAAAAGCACTTCAGTTACAATCCAGGAAAATCTGTGAATTCATGTGGAAACTGACTTAATTTCTTCAACTTAAAAAAAAAAAAAAAAGGAAATTCATGGCAAATCTTGCCATTTACACAGGTTCTGATATTTGATAGTTTAAGATTCACAAGAAGTTATGAAAATAGCACAGAGGACTCTGTGTGCCCTTTCTTTGTCATCCCCCAGTGATTACATCTTATAAAACCATTGTCAACCAAGGCCATGATATTGGCAGAACAATACTATTAACTCAAACACAGACCTTATTCAGATTTCACCAGTTTTCACATGCACTTTGTGTATGCGAGATCTTATCCCTTTTGAGCAACATGGTACCTTTCCTATCCAACCTGGTACCTATCCATTGTAGTATGCCAGGATGTGGATTGGAGTATGAGAGTATGTATGGATGAGAAACTAATTAATTTTTTAGGTTACCTATTTTTGGAGTAACATTCTATAGATTTTATTTTATTTTAGTTTTATATACTCTTGTTGCCTTAACACATAAAAACTTCTAGTTTTAACACCAGATATTATCATGTATATGATTTTAAGTTTGGTATTGGTTTTGATGTGTAAGAGGAGATCTGAGAATCTGTGTCTATAGGTGAGTTCAATCCTATTCTTTATTTGCAAGTCCTGTGCTACTATACTAATGCTATTCAGGTGGAATGTGACTTTTGATAACACACTGCAGCTAATAGCACAATGACTAAATAGGACTTTTAAAAATTGTATTTTCAATTTATAGGAGATACCTCAATCTGAAAGAGTAATTTATGCAAATATATCAATAGTACTTTTCATTATCCAACTTTCTCATTTGGACTCACTTACATAGAATGATGGCAGACACTTTGCTTAGAAAAACTGAAAAGTTGGAAAGACATATCTTGCTCCCCTTACCCACATAAAGAACTCATAGATCATGATTTTTTTTTTTTTTTTTTACTTATAACACCGTCTCTTACTCTTATAACCTCAGTTCACAGATTGGAAAATGAAATAAATGCCCAAATTGCACAAAACAGAGTCAATCACTTGAGACATCTAGTAATTTGAAGCTGTTCCAAAACTTAGTGAAGAACAATTCTTTTTCTTTTTTTTCTCTCTCTCTCTCTAAACAAAAGTTCTAAACTGCCTTCCCATTGACATTTAAAAAAATATATTTTATTGGTTTGGGTTTTTTTGCTCCTGTCCCTCCCATACATCCCCTCCCTCCCCAGAGTTTTATGTCCATTGGTTGTACTTATATGCATGTATACAAGTCCTTCGGTTGATCTATTATCTCCCCCAGATCTCCCTCCCCTCCCCACTGTAATTTGACAATCTGCTTGTTGCTTTACTGTCTCTATATCTATCTTTTGGTTCATCAGTTTATAATGTTCTTTATTATCCATAAATGAGTGAGGTCATGTGGTGTTTCTCTTTCATTGATTGGCTTATTTCACTCAGCATGATGTTCTCCAATTCCATCCAGGTTGCTGCAAATGATGAGAATTCCTTCTTTTTTTATGGCAGCATAGTATTCCATTGTGTAGATGTACCATGGTTTCTGGATCCAATCATCTGCTGACAGGCACCTAGGCTGTTTCCAAATTCTGGCTATTGTAGATTGTGCTGCTATGAACATAGGGGTGCATATATCATTTCTGATTGGTGTTTCTAGTTTCTTGGGATATATTCCTAGGAGTGGGATTACTGGGTCAAATGGGAGTTCCATTTTCAGTTTTTTGAGGAAACTCCACACTGTTCTCCACAGTGGTTGCACCAGTCTGCATTCCCTCCAACAGTGCACCAGGGTTCCTTTTTCTCCGCAACCTCATCAACACTTGTCATTTGTTGATTTGTTCATGTTGGCCATTCTGACAGGTGTGAGATGGTACCACATTGTTGTTTTGATTTGCATCTCTCAGATAATTAGTGACTTTGAGCATGTTTTCATGTGCCTTTTGGCCTTCCTTCTGTCTTCCTTTGAAAATATTCTATTTAGGTCCATTGCCCATTTTTTAATTGGATCATTCATCTTCCTTTTATTTAGTTGTATAAGCTGTCTATAGATGTTGGAGATTAAACCTTTATCAGTGGTAACATTTGCAAATATGTTCTCCCACACAGTAGGCTTTCTTGTTGTTTTGTTGATGGTTTCCTTTGGTGTAAAAAAGCTTTTTATTTTGATGTAGTCCCATTTGTTTATTTTCTCTTTAGCTTCCATTGCCCTAGGGGCAATATCAGTGAAGAAGTTCTTTTGGCATATGTCTGAGATTTTGCTGCCTGTGGATGCTTCTAGTAGTTTTATGGTTTCCCATCTGATGTTTAAGTCCTGTATCCATTTTGAGTTTATTTTTGTGTATGGTGTAAATTGGTGATCTAGTTTCATTCTTTTGCATGTATCTGTCCAATTTTCCCAACACCGTTTATCGAAGAGACTGTCTTGACTCCATTGTATATTTGTGCCTCCTTTGTCAAATATTAATTGAGCATAGTGATTTGGGTTGATATCTGGGTTCTCGATTCTATTCCATTGATCTATATGTCTGTTCTTGTGCTAGTACCAGGCTGTTTTGAGAACAGTGGCTTTGTAATACAGCTTGAAGTCTGGTATTGAGGTCCCTCCTACTTTACTCTTCTTTCTCAGGATTGCTGTGGCTATTCGGGGTCTTTTCTTGTTCCAAATGAACTTTTGGAGAGTTCTTTCTAGGTCAGTGAAATATGCCATTGGTATTTTAATGGGGAGTGCATTGAACCTATAGATTGCTTTAGGAAGTATGGACATTTTGATGATGTTGATTCTACCAATCCATGAACATGGTATGTTCTTCCAT